GGTGAAGCACCAAATCAGACACAAAAAGGACAATTCACACTTGGGCACACATTGGTATTAATAATCAAAGGCAGATTACAGCTTGAATAAATAGACATTTCCAGTTGAATATAGATGAGCACTTGAAGCTCTGTTGGCGAGCGTTTTGAATATGTTGTGTGTGTGCGTGAGCACCTGTGTGTATTTCTGTTTCTTTGAACAAGTGTGTATATCTGCACACGGTGAAAGCTAGATGAGAAAAAGTTCAAATGCATCGCAATGTTTGCCCCAAGACCTCGATTTCCATTTGTCTGTCGGTGCCTGTTGGTGAAGATTTCTTCCGAAGTATGGCTGAATTGATTTACTGCATTGTTGCACCCTGGGCTAAAACACTTAACATACAACTAACAGGCAAGTGCAACATAGAAACACAGGTGTGCATAGAAAAGAGCTAAAATAGTAATTTTAGTCACAATAGTGTGTGACAATGTATCATATAGTACCTTTTCCATTAACAAATAGCTTATCAATTTTATTTTTCATATGTCGTGTTGTATGTGAGTAAAAAGCAACAGCTACATCAGTTCAAATGCCTTCTCTCTCTCTCTTTTTCGCTTTCTTTGGTGCACAGTTCCACAAACACACACACACACACACACACACACTCCCGTTTAGTTGAGCCTCTCAGGCACTCTTTTTAAGTCTGCTTTGTTACAAAGTCACTGCTAGCAAGCTCCACCAAACAGACCTTGGCAAAATGGTTATAGGATTAGGGCCATGACTGGGGTTAGACACTGCCAATCCCAGCAAGGGATGCCGGATTTGTATGCAGCCCGAAAGGAAGTTCTGTCTGAGAGACTCAAACTAGAGCAGATCTAGAGTACATAGCACATGTAGTATGCTCCCTGAGAAGACAGAGGCTTGAGGAGAAGCTTGCGACAACACAGAACTGGAGATTGGTTGGATCACTTAATAGGTATAAAACTACTATGTTACTGAAAGTTTGTGGTGAAATGAATTTTACCTAAAGGCAGTATTATGATGGACTGAATATTAAGTTGATGTCACACATAGGGGGTTCAGCAGAGAGAAAAATAGAAAAAAACAAGCAAAAGATTGAGACAGAGACTGCGTTATACATACAGAAGGGAACCCAAAGAATATAAATAACAGATGAATAAAGTTAAACACACACAAAAGGGAAGCAGCCACCAGGACGGAGAAGAGGATATGCTGGCAGAATCTGCAGATTGTTCGAGGAAGCTACATTTGCAACCTTTTTGCATTTAGGGACCCAATAGATCTAGCATTTGTGCCGAGGTAATCAATTGCATTTTGTCGGTGAACAACTGCTTTTCACAGTGACTGTAAAAGTCCCTCTAGCTCAAATGAGGGCACATTTGTACAGATAGTTAAACAGCTCAGCCAATACAATAGTACTCTTAAGGCTTATTTTGACTCAGTCAAGAAATAAAATCCCACTTAAATTACCTCAGGTGGCTCACCTCGCTGTATGTGCTCTTGCATAGTTTTAAAGTAGTCTAAGAAGAAATGCAAGAGGCATCTATCATGTTTGATTGGACCACTGATGTAAACCACTGTGAGGAGGCTTCATTTGTTTTTCGAAAACAAGAGAACTTACTCATTAGTGGAAGGATGTTATTTTTCATATTCCTCCACTGGTAAGAATGCATATTTCTTCACAGAGAGTGTGTATGGTCAACCACAGTGCAGCAATCATTTCAAATGCCCTCTTAAAGAATGACCTAAACTTGGGAACTGCACACCATTGTAGCTGGAGTTCTTACAAGACTGAAAGCCCAGAGGACCACGATGCAGTTCAAAGAAGTCACTGAGAAAGCTACCATTCTGGCTGAGGCAGCAGATATTAGCATTCCTGATGTTATTCCAGGCCAGGCAAGGCGCTGTAAAATACCTGCAAAGTTAAAGGCGCTGTTCCGCATCAGTGACTGAAGACTATCAGACTCAGAGTCTGGAGGAGCATTATCAAGGCAGCCTGTGCTTCATCATTTTTGCTCATATTCAGGAGTTTCAGAAGCATTTTGAAGGGAAGGCGAGCCTACGTAAAATCAAAACACACTATACACACCCTGACAGACTGTCAAAGTAGGATAGTGGAGATGAGTAAGCTATTCGGTTATTTATGGTTTGTTTAAGTTTTCTGAATTTTTAGATGAGAGGCAGCTGCTGTGTGAACTAAAGTGTGTTTTACTCTGCAAACAGAAGCTCCCAGAAGAGCACAGATTATACAGAAGGAGTTCAAAAAGCATGAGACAGGTTGTTTCTCCAAACTATTCAAATTAGGAAAAATATATACTCTCCCAGTGTCAGCAGGCCCTGTAGAAAGGACGACCAGCAGTTGCCTGCTACCTGATTTTTCCTGAAACTATTCTTTCTGTTTAGAAAATAACCACGATGAAATGGGAAATAAAATGAAGTTCCAATTTCTGTTTGGAGTTTTTCTGTCCCTATTATGCTCCATCTCTAACTTTTTTTTATAATTTTTTATAATCTCTCCCTGATTTTTTTCAGCCAAGGCAGCAATCCATTGTGCAGTGTTAGCTGAGACAAAACTTTTGTATACAAAAACCAGAAATCTTCCAATGTAAAAAGCGTTTTAAAAAGCGCTGAAGTTATCTGTCTAGAAGTATTTGTGTGCTTTAATGTTAATTTTCTAGCTGTACCAAACTGCTCAATGTGCAGTATGCATGGAGCTTCAGTAAATATAAATGTTTAGTAAATTTCCTCTTCCTGTACATTCACATAGGTTCAGGGTACACGTAGACCTTGAAACTCGCTATTGTGGTTATTGTTTCATTTAGCCTGGCTCCTGACACAGTAAAAACAAAAAGCACACAATGTATCACACAACAGGTTACCCTTTCAATTCCCCCACCTGCTCTCTATTTTACTTCCCCTGAACATGTTGCACCTAAAAATATCAGCTAGGTTTATTTCTCAGATCAATAGAAATAAAGAGGCAGGTGGCTTTGGGGTCATTTCACCAGGGAATGGAGTTCTCCACAGGTTTAATAGTACATCCAGCCTCCGGAAGGCAGATGGATTAATTCTCCAGCTCGCACACACAACAATACTGCTATAAAACGCTCATTGTTTTCTCTATCTGAAAGGACAAAAGATGATGAGTTTCTCCTTTGATGGATTAAACAGATTTACAATGGTTATTCAAATACAAAGCAGGTGGCATCTAAAACACCATCCTCTATCTTTTTAAAGGGCACAGACCAGGAAACCTCCCTGCTTCATGTTCTTTAATTCTGACAAAGGGACATTTTTTATTTCAACTTGTACATCATGTGTACAATCTATCATGTCAAATAGATTGAGATGCTACTTTTGTTCTTTCCTAGTGTCTTGTTTAAACCTCCCCCTCCTCCAGTTCGATTTCCTCCACCTGCCCAGGCCCCTCCTCCTTGTCTTCCTTCCATTTCTCTGAGTCATAGAGGGCATTCAGTGACTCATGCGTTTTTCTCCCTCTCTGCATGTTTGTGTGATGGAGTGAGTGTTGTGATGAGGGTCCACTCAGCAGGCGTGCAGGCTTGGCTCAGTTAATAATGGAACTAATGAGCATCAGCCCAAATGAGCTTTTAATGGGCTCCGTCTACCTGCGGCTACAAGAGAGGGATGGGGTGGAGGAAGTGAAGGTGGGGAGGATGGTTACATTGCATTTACAGTTCTCTTATACCATGCGTATTCACATCTGCATAGTACATCATTTATATCCGACCTTGAGGTAAATAATTTGTCTGTGATAGTGTCTATTTTAATCAATGTACTGCTTCTGTGGAGAATCTTCGTAGCATGGCATCCCTAAAAAGCAGAACGCCAGTATTTTTTTCCTCAATACAATATGTAGTTTTAAAAGCCTGGTTTTGTGTCAACAAACTCTGAATAAAGTGAAAAGTTTAAAAAAGACATTTTCAGGGAAACGTCAACTGTTTTGCTAAGCAGATAAAAGGTTTAGCCCTGCATGTTAAATTTGAAGTAACATTGTCTTTGCAGCCGAGAGCAAGGACTGTCTTTCTTGTCGGTGCATTAAGGATATTGTTGGACATCAAATAAACACATTCCTCAGTTTGAAAGCTTAAGACAAAGTAAAGGAAAAAATGCACCCTTGAATATCGTTAGCTTGCAGATTACAAGAAATTGTGATGTTAGAAAAAGTGCTAAAGTCTCACACACATCCCTTTTACTCTGATCCTCCTTTACTTCACTTTCCACGACACTACTTTTGCTACTCAATTCCCCCAGTGATTTTCTGTAATTCCTAGAATGACTTTGTGCAACCCCCCAGAGAAGAGCTGTGACCGTGTAACATCCGTAAAGAATTTAGAGAGTGGTTAAGCACCAGGTGTTACTAATATAAAAATATAACTGATGCCTTCATGTACAGTAAGTTCACATTGACACAGTCTTTTATGGATGTAATCACTGATGATGCATTGCATGTGTGACCAAATTAACACTCGAATTAACTAAAGATTAGGATTAATCAGAGAGATGGAAAAGAGAAAACGTTAGGCCATGGTGATTGATGTGTTGACTGTGTGGCTGACAGAGCAGTAGACATGCATGGAACTGTAAATAGACACTTGATTGATATCACTCCATTGTGCAGTCTGGGGTTAGGGTTGAATTTCATCTTCAGGGTGCAGCAGCATCATTACTCATAGCTCTGTGGGCACAGCTGTCTCCACAGGTGCTGCACCAATTGATGTAAGAGTCCAGGGTTTAGGTTTTGAAGGGTTTTTCAGTGAGAAATTCCATTAAAGTAAATCTTGATGTTGTGACTTTTGATGGTTGTGTTTAAACATATTCATTCTTATTTTTAGGTCATTGCCTGAAAGAAGTAAATAAAATCAATCATGCCTTAATCTTGTCTCACACTATCCAGTTTTTCTGACACGGAGTGCGTGTGTTTATTATTCTGTTTCTGCTTATTAAACCTATCACCATGTGTGGTTTTTGTTTCTTTACAGAGTGCCGTGATGTGTTGTTACCCATGATGCTGCGGGAGCTGAGCGTGGCACTGGTCAGTATGGCTGATGGCCCTCATGATGAGAGGAGAAATAGTCTGGAGCTGCTCAACAACATTCTGGAGGTCCTCAGCAGGGACAATGTGGTGAGACACACAGCAATTTTTGCAGTAAAGAACACATGATCCCTTTTTCACACTTGGCATTAAACTGAATTCTCGGCGATTGTTTCAAAGTAGACATTGTACACATCCAATATGTACGGAGAACATATTGAGATCTGATTGCTTAGGTCATATCTGGATATGGGTAGGGTACAATTGCATTGAGCATAGCGTTGACATTTATATTTTTGACTGCAAGGACATTTTCCTTCTCTCTATACACTTCATTTCTTTCATTTTGAGGTGTTCTGTGTAGTTCTACCTACTATGCAGATATTCCTCCAATATCTTCCCATAGTACATGTATGGCTGTACTGTATGGTTGCATTATTGGTAAAATGTTAGGGTAAAGATTATCCAGCCAATAAATTAGAAGACATTTTCTTTATCTTTTTAGCATCACTGGATGAATTTGAACTACCACTGAGCTCTGTCCACCGCAGTGAAACTTGTCTGTAAATAGCCGTAAGCTGTTTTGTCTTAAGTCATTCAGTCGTGCAATAAAGCAGGCCTTGACCGATTAGAATCAAATTGATTTTGTTTCACGCATGTTTCTGCATGTTAGTCTGTTGAAACAAAATCCAGTTAGCGCCTGAACTAAACACCCTTAATACACACACACACACACACACACACATAGAACAAATACATCACCAATATCCAGCCGTGGGCTTTTTAATTGCTCCTGCAAGTTGTTGACAGCCTGCTGAGTCTTTGAAGTGAAGGAATGGCTTTTTTTCCAGCTCTATTTATTTGGATAACACTAATGAAGCATGAGCCAAGAGAAGAGAGAGAAGTAATGAATGGAGAGGAGTGAATTTGATTAGATGAATTTGCGTCAGTTGAGGTATAAAAGTGAAAGCATGCGGTGGGAGAGTGTCAAAGGGACATGACATGTACAAATACAATCATGTACAAACTAAAAATCCAGCGAAGCACAGCCTTATACAAGTTTTCTGTCAAGCTACATGAGTGCAAAAGTCTGCTATTGGATGACTTATAGGTGTCAGTATTCTCTATAGAAATCTACACACAGTATATTGCCATTTGGTCCT